GCTTTTTTGAATATTTTAGCAATTTAAAAATATCAAAAAATGATTTTTTTAGACGGCACCCCTGCTCTCGACAGACGGCACCCCGGTTGGGAAACACTGGCCTAGTGAACCAAACTGAGAGACCATTTTGAAGGCCCAGGAAACCTTTGCAGGTGTTTTGAGTTGATTAGCTGATTGGCATGTCACCATATTCTAATTTGTTGAGATAGTGAATTGGTGGGTTTTTGTTAAATGTGAGCCAAAATCATCACATTTAAAAGAACCAAAGACTTAAACTACTTCAGTCTGTGTGCATTGAATTTATTTAATACACGAGTTTCACAATTTGAGTTGAATTACTGAAATAAATTAACTTTTCCACAACATTCTAATTTATTGAGATGCACCTGTATATGATCCATCCAAAATGTGAGAGAATCTAGATTAATTCAGTCCTGCATGTGTTTGAAATTTCTGTGCCTCTCTGTCTGTGCGCTTTGGATTCTATGCTCTAAAATCATTGCTTCTTGTTTCATGATAGCTCTATTTAAAAGGCCAGCCGTGGTTAGATTGATGCAGCCATCATGGACAAGGTCAGTATGAGAGGAATTCCACATCAACTCTATCTATGTGCAGTCATGTGGGGAAGAACGGGCATTTTCCCAGCTAGTGATCTCTCAAGCACCGGCTTACAACTTAGCTTTTCACTGGATGTGTGTCAGTGTGACCTTGAATCAGACGTTCATGCTGTCATCACATTGTAGAATGGTTTTACACTAAATGGTTATGTGGAGTCATTTATCCAGATTTGACAGCAGCTTCTGCTAGCCTTCTGGTATTCAAGGGATTTGTTTTTATGGTGAGTTTCGGCAAATTGTTATTTTAAATTAATTTATGTTATACAGTAAATATCTGAGAATGAGAAGCAGCAGAGTGTATATTAACTTTTATTAGAAACATTAACAAAGATGTCTATATTTATCTGAATGTAAATTAATTTATACATTTGAATCTGTCATGCATGAAACTATGTTTGTTAAAGGCATATCAAAAGGGCCATATGGGTCATTCCTTGCGTACACTGAGGATAATCATCTCATATTACATTCATAGACTGAAAATTGCTCCCAAGAGGATTAAGTTGCCTTCATCAGTATTGCTGTCCACTGTTAGTATAATGGCAGCTGTAAAGCATTCACTTAGCAATCAATCTTTGACATTACTTCCCTGATGTAACATTCTTTTTAAGGTAAACACCTTACATATTTTATCATCTTAGCCTGCTTAATTGTCCCACCCACATTTTCAAAGTAGTATGGGAAAGCAATTGCTTTTCAAATGTTTGGTTTATGTGAATTATTGCATAATTGAGTATTGAATAGAGATTCAATATGTTGACAGAGTTAGGTTCGTTTTTAGGTTCAATATGTCAACAACTGAACAAGCACAATGTCACAACATCAATCATTTCAATATATCTAACATGTACTAAAATATACAGTGTACATTGTTTTTCTTTCTTTCTTTTTTTTTGCAAGCAGGGTTAATTTCACTCTGCTATGCCACATTATCATTCATTTCATGCATATTAGTTGATAAAATGCAGCTACAGAATGCACATTCAGAATACATTCACCATAATTGTTTATATTAAAATGAGACGTACATTTTAAAATTATGTTGTATGTTTCTGGTCAGTGATGTTGTTATGCATTTAAAAATTATATATTTTGAGTTTAAAGTTTATTAAAATATGTATTTTCAGGAACACTTTAAAATAAGGCTACATTTCTTCATTAACAGTTAACAGTAGCGTGTTTAGGCACCACGCAATTGCGTGGGGTCCCGCGGTCCAGGTGGGCCCTCACAGAATGTGATTTCTACAGAGGGGACCATTTTAACAATAAACAACTTTTATTACAGCATTTATTAATTTGTAAATATACTATTGTTCATTGCTGATTATTATTCATTCATTCATTCATTCATCATTCATTCATTTGATATTTAATGCACTGTGAACTAACAATTAATGAATAAACTTTTTTTATTTTATTTTTATTTACTTTTTTAAATTTTATTTTTATTGACTAACATTAATAACAATAAATTGTTAACGTTTGTTACAAATTAAACATTTTCACATCTGGGCTCAGCTTACTGGCTTGTTTTTAATACATTTTTGGCAAATGTAAAAGCTCTTTCACACCCAAAGTGAAATGAATAAGTCTCAGAAATGTAAATTCACTTCAGCTGTGCTGCTGTTCTGGATTGCATGAAGGATAGGATGCAGGAGAAGAAAGTTCAACACAACATTATAGTAAAAAAAAATATATATATATATATATATATTATATGTTATTATAATTAATTAAGCATAATTTTATATATATATATACACTGAACAAAATTATGCTTAATTAATTATACTTATAAAATAACACTTTTGTTTTTGCTCCCATTTTTCATGAGTTGAACTCAAAGTGAGCACTTCTCCTTTGCCGAGATAATCCATCCACCTCACAGGTGTGGCATATCAAGATGCGTACCGTGCCGTTGCCAAGCCAGCTTGTACCACGCAGTGGAAAAGCGCCATTAGCAAGGTCCTGGGAGAAGCCTTATTCAACTCACTTCATCAGCCTGTCTAATTATTCATCTGTCGCAGGGCTGGCAGAGCATGGGAATGCATCGATGCCTAAGGTTGAAGAAATATTAGCTAACTATCTCTCACCTTCTTTTGCATGCCCTGGAGAGGACCATCATTACCCTCCAGAACATTGTAACAAAAAAAACATGTAACAAAAGTTACATCTAGTGTGGTTGGTAAGGCCTAATTCAGGCTACTGACTACACCATCGCTCTGTCGGAACTCTGCCATGCCACAAAGAAAATGGCCTGCACGATTGGCCATTCAGTGGCTGGTATGGCTGCCACGAAGCTGCACCTGTGGTTAAACCTGGCTCTAGCTCTCACTAGCAAGGGAAAGTGTTCTTCTCAGCAGTCCAATTGAAAGCTGGACCTGAGATTTGTCATTTCCTCCTGGTCTGCCGGAAAAGATCAGCCCTGATGCCAAGGCATTCAGGGTTCTGAGGGCAAGCCCCCTCAGGGGAGAGTGTGACACACCATAACATCGTGTGCTCTTTCTTCCTCAATGCCCTCAAGGCTATCTTGTTAAACCAGCCACATTCTGTGTTATGGGGAGGCTGCGGTGCCGGCCCCGCTTTCGCCAAGGCAGAGCGGCGGCTGTGCTCGTGGGTTTCGCGTATGGATCCGGTGGAAGGAATGTAGACGGGTCGCGTCCCTATCTACCTCCTTAACCACCAGATCCAGCGCCTGCTCTCGGTGTTCGGAAGCCTGCGCTGCAGTACTTCCCCCCCGGGTAGAGGGCGCGACGCTCCGCCTGTCTTTCTCCGAGGAGATTGATACGTAGGGCGTCGAAGAGCTCGCCAGTTGCACAAACATGAGTTACACAAACTTGAGTTACACAAGCATATTATGCCTGATATTATAATAAGCAGCATCAATGGGGAGCGGAGCTCGCGCAGTCGACTCTCGGGGGGCGGATTGTGCTTTTCCAAAAATAAACGCTCCGCTCTTGCCGGGCGCGCTCCGAGGAGTGTGTCCATGCCTGTGATCTTGAGATTGCGGTCCCGCTGCTGCTGAGGCACAGCGGCGACTGCGATCGTGGTGATCACACATGATCTGGTGGACTGGTTGGAGACGGCTCGTCCTATCTCCACCCGTGCTCCCTAGATCTAGAGCTCGTTCTCGAGGCTCGGAAGCCCGCGCTGCGGTTCTTCCCCCTCTGAGTGAGAGCTTGCTGATACGGCCATCTTTCTCTGAGGAGATTGATGTTGTTGGTGTGACTGAGCGGCTCGCGCGCTGCCGTGGCAACGCTTATATTACATCATTTGGTTTTTGATGTGAATCTTACTCACCAGACCATATTTTCTCCTCTGGTTGTCTGACTGCATTTAATTCTGAGGAATAAAATGAAGTATTTATCTGACTATGAGAAGTTAGATATACAGGGGCACTTGGGATAAAAATAAATAAATAAATTTTCTCGAGTGAGAGCATGAGCTTACCTCTCTTTCTCTGAGGAGGTTGAGGCAGTCAGCAGGGGCTGCTGGGTGGAGCAGTCCCAACCTACAGTATTCTGGGGACCTCACGTCTTGTACTCCGCAGAGTCTAGAGTCAGAGTGGCACTCCCAGGCCGAAGGCCTCTAGCGGAAGGCGGTTCTGCGGACCGTCCTTCTCGCTGGATAGTCTTCGTCGTAAACATCCTGACGCCTATGGCCTAGGACTTTTTGAGGGCCAGCTCCCTCTGGGGAAGAGCAGTGTACACCGCCTTACACGGTGCCCGTCTCTCCTCAGTGCCCTCAGGAGATCGGTCTGCCAACCTTGCCTGTGTTCCAGGGCGCAGCGGTCTCCGGCGAGCGCTTTTCTCAGTTACCACCCGGAAACGTAGCGGTACTAAGAGGCTCGCTACCTCTAATCACAGTATGAGGATCGTGTGATGTCACTGTGATCATCGCATGATCTCACGTGTTGACTGGGTAATTTTCAATAGGAGACTTCAGCCAAAAAGTCCTGATGCCCATGGCTCAGAACGTCTGAGGGCAGGCCCCTCTAGGGAAGAGCGGTGTACACCGCATTACACGGTGCCCGTCTCTCCTCAGTGCCCTCAGGAGATCAGTCTGCCAACCCTGCCGGTGTTCCAGGGCGCAGCGGTCTCCCGCGAGCGCCACTCTCAGTCACCGTCCGGCAACGTAGCGGTGCTAAGAGGCTCGCCACCTCCGCGGAGGTCTCTAGAGCAGCCGGTTCGGTTGTCCCCTGCCGGTCCGCCGTTACAGGGCACCGAGCTAGCTGCTCTCATTACACCAGAGATCAGTCTCGAGAGACTGATTCCCTTAGTAGACTATTTGGTAGCGTGGAAACTACTGCCAAACGTGTCTCAGTGGGTCCTGCACACTGTAGTGAGGCTCTGGTAATGGAACAGAAGTAAACGCTCTCTGAGGATGGAGGCCATCGAGCTGGTCCCTCCTCGTGCAGCAGAGGCCAGTACTTCACCGTTCCGAGGAAGGATGAGGGTCCTTCCTCCTCATAGGGAGTTCCTGAGGTTTGCTTTTGGGGTCAAAAGCCTACCAACACCGGTTCTTCCTTTTGCCTTGCACTCTCACCCCACACTTTCACGACTCAACCACATTGACGATGGGTTGATATTAGCTCATTCAGAGCACATGGTGGTTCGACATCGAGATGTCGTTCTCGCCCACATGAGAGAGCTGGGGTTAAGACTAAACTCCAAGAAGAGTGTGCTTTCTCCATTACAGAGAACCACTTATCTAGGCGTGGTGTGGGATTCGACCACGATGCAGGCACGTATGTCCCCTGCTCTGATCAAGTCGATCCTTACCACAGTCGCGAGAATAAGAGAAGGCCGGTCACTCACTGTCAAGCAGTTTCAGAGACGGCTGGGTCTGATGGCAGCTGCGTCCAACGTGATACCTATTGGCCTGCTGTACATGAGACCCCTACAGTGGTGGCTCAAGATCAGGGTGTTCTCCCCGAGGGGAAACACGCTTCGCATGATCAAGGTCACGTGGCGATGCCTACGTGCCTTAGACATGTGGAGGAAACCTTGGTTCTTGGATCAGGGCCCGGTGCTGGGAGCTCCTTGTCGCCGCACGTGGCGGCTATTGCGGCCTACCACGCCCCTCTTAGTGGCCAGCCAGTGGGCAGACACCCCCTAGTTACACGTTTCCTCCCCGGTGCGCTGAGGCCTCCGGTACAATCTCATGTCCCCACATGGGACCTGGCAGTGGTGCTAGAGGCTCTCTGTAGGCCTCCCTTCGAGCCTATTGAGGAGATATCTGATCGCCTCCTTACTATAAAAACTACCTTCCTTCTGGCGATATCTTCCCTCAAGAGAGTTGGGGATCTGCAGGCCCTTTCTGTGGCCCTGTCTTATCTTGACATTGCGCCCGGTCTGGCCAAAGTGTTTCTGTTCCCGCGAGCGGGATATGTTCCTAAGGTCCCCTCCTCTACGCCTGTCGTACTCCAGGCCTTCAGTCCTCCTCCCTTTGGGGATCCAGACCAGCAGAGGCTAAACTGTATGTGTCCAGTGCGAGCACTGGATGCATACGTCCACAGAGCTGCCCTGTGGAGAAGGGCGGACCAGTTGCTTGTTTGCTACGGTCCCCCTAAGAGAGGTCTTCCAGCAACTAAACATGACCCTCAGTCGGTGGAGCAGCCTCTAAGGCTTTTTAGCGGGTGTGCCTATGCAGGACATCTGCCACGCTGCGGGTTGGTCCACGCCCCTTACCTTTGTTAGGTTCGACGGCTAGACATGCGAGCCACTCCTGGCTCTACTGTTCTCTCACCCTAGCTGTGCAGTCTTCCACACTAGGCAGAGACTTGGAAGTCTGGCGGCGTGGGCATTCTCGTTCCCCTAGCGTTTTCCGACGCAGCTTGAGTTCCTGAAGAGGAACGTCTCAGGTTACGTATGTAACCATAGTTCCTCGAAGGAATGAGATGCTGCATCTCAGAGCCATACTTTCGGCATCTCTGCAGTAAACATGCAGTAAAATAAGCTTCAACATTTTTTCAAGCTTGATAACAACATCAGCTTTTCCTAGTTCTGCCACTTTACACAGATATAGTCCAAATAATTTTTGACACTCTGAAAAAACAGTTTTTCGAAAAGGTATCAGTAAAATGAGATGCTTAACCAATGGATGTCAAACTAAATATCATGTTTTTTTTTACATTACATTCACATTGATGTTGTCATTAAAAAGGCTCAGAACGTTGTTTCCATAGTTACATTGGATAGATAACAAATGGTTGTAGATTAAATTATCATTTAGTAGGGGCTAGTTTGGAACCATATGTGGCTATTTAGCTAGCAATCCAGCAACTTTTCATATGATGCATTTTTTAAAATTTAAATATTTACTTAAAGGGGTCATATGACGTTGCTAAAAAGAACATTATTTTGTGTATTTGGTGTAATGCAATGTGTTTAAGGTTCAAAAAGCGTGGTGTGCTCTGATTGGCCAGCGATCTAGTGCGTTGTGATTGGCCGAATTCCTCAAGCGTGTGACGGAAATGTTACGCCTCTTACCAGGTTCAGGAAACAGTCCTCCATAAAATGCGCTGCACACTCTCAAATATTTGGATTGACCTATTCTGGAACAGTGTTGTAAATACAACTTAACCACTGATTTCTAGTTGTGTAGTCTTTTGGAAGACCAAACAATGTAGTTTTACGGATCTTCTGCATGCACAAACAGCTTTTAACACTCCAAAGACAAAGGAGAACATGAAATCACATCATATGATGCCATTAATGCTTATTGCAAAAAGAAAAATTACAAACATCATATAAAATTTATAGAAATTTAAACCAGATATATTTTAAAAAGATATAATTTCATATACATGTTATTTATATGATTAGTAGATTTTTGAAAACAGTCTGCTCAAAAACCTAAATTCCGAATATTATAAAACCAAGACATGACATATTAATTGAATATATATGCCGATAATGATTTGTTTTTCACTTTGACAGCCCTCATTAACCAACAGTGATATCATGTTTGTGAAGATTCATGCGCCGTGGGACACGCTGTGTAAATATGCTGAGCAGATGAACATTAGAATGCCCTTCAGGTAGAGATTACTGTCACCATACTTCATACTGTACTGTATGTGAATGCATTGTGACCATGTGATATGTATTTTTATAGGAAAAAGTGTTACTTCACAGACTGGAAGAAAAAAACTATGGGCAGGTAGGACTGTTACTGGTCTGTGTTTCCATATATTTGACTGATAGTTAATTATTTCATTTTATTTGCATTAAAGTCAAAAACATCTTCAGCATCTCAATTTTGTTAATTTTCTTGAAATTTATTTTGAGTCAGACTTTAGCTGTGGGGAATAAAAATTTTATAGAGTTAATTAGCCCGATATTTGTTGTGCATCTCAGGGGACGAAATCACCTCTGATTTAATCAGGCTTGATTTAATTTGCATCAGAAAAGAATTCAATTCTAGAAGTGACTGTGAGTGAAATGAAGAAACTATGATTAACAACTCTGCTCGTTGGAGTTATTTTTTCTCTGCTTGTTGGACCTTATTTTTGACAAATGCTAATGCAAACTTTATGTCTACAGCCGATTTCAGTTGAGATTTCGTCAGCTGAAGAGCTGGCTGCCCAGAAACCCCATGAAACTGGATAAAGAGGCGTTACCAGACCTGGAGGAAACCGACTGCTACACCGCCCCCTTCAGCAGGGCCAGAATGCACCAGTATGTCCCTCTTCCATGACCTTGTTATAATTAAATTTCACGTCTTCTCAGATAATATCATATATTTTACGTATACAGAACAAAAAATTTCATTGCTCGGCACCTTTTGTTATCTGGGAATATTATACTGCAATTATATAGCCATGTCCTCATATACATTTCAGTCATGGTTTGCTAACTGAGGCTGAAACCACAATCTCGCAACCTTCATCCAGCAATGAGCTCAAGGGACTTCAGAATCCACTACAGATTTTAGCCTCATCTGACCCTTTTAGAGCAGATTTTATGATGGAGGCACTTTCAGACCATGTTCTTGATGTACTTGAGCCTGATGACTGTTTGTGAATGTATGAGTCATTGGTTGCTGACGTTTACTTTATAGATCAGAGATCAGCGTAAATGCGTGACCTCATAAAGAATTGTGTCCTGGGGCAGTAGAGTTAGTGAGTTAGTTTTTGTTCAGTAAGCGCTGTTAGGAAGAGTTTATTTGAGGCCGGCCAGGGGTTTTGTATGCACAGACATTTTGCAAGAGGGCAAGTAGGGTTTAACCTGAACAACAACTTGAAACACTCTCTGCAGATATCTTTCTAATGCACTGCAGTATCAAAAAAAAAGAAAAACAAACGAGTGATACAGATGTATTTATTCTTTTCCCCCACAGTAGCAGAAGACTGAGTTTCATGAAACCTGTCAAAAATGGCATATACTAAAAAAAAGAATTGAATTCTTTTTTTTCCATATATTATTTAGTCTTATTTATACGTTTATAATTATAAATATTTTGCTTCAGCTTTTGTATTTTTTCTTATTTAATTTTAGTTTTTAGTAATTTTGTTGTGGTTGTCATTTTGATTAAAATACGATTTTTGAAAAATAGATTAGATTTCATTTGATTTCAGGGTTATTTTTTTATTTATTTGTATATATTTAGAAATTTTAGAACTTCAACTTTTGCAACGTCAAATGTGTATTTAGAGCACATTTCCTAAATTTGTATTTGTTTGTAATCTAATTTGTGATAAAGTTTTACTTTTGAAAATTTTACCTGAGATGGGAACGAGGCCCTGCGTCCAAATGATGACACTATGGGGAATACCTTTGCGTGACTGTGTCTGAAACACGTGTGCAACTACTCCAACCCTTTTTCACGAGTTCGCACTTACATATAATTGGATTGAGCAAATAGTATGTATATTTGGTGTGCTGTCCTGAGGGAGGGATCCGAGCTCGGAATATAGTCCAAACCCAGAGAACTCCCCCCATCCCTAATATGGGATGAGAATAGTTTAATAGTGATGAGTTGGGGGGAGAGGGGAAAACTGTCGTGGGACAGAGGTAAACGTATTTTGCTAGTTAAGCTGATTAACTGAATGAGTTCCACCTGAGCCGAATAGGTTGATTATCTGATCGTGCTCCTCCCGAACCTTGTTAATAAAACATCATTTGGTGATGCATCACACATGACATGTGATGGTGCGAAAGCTATATAGTATTCCCGCAACCAGTATTGTGATTAACGCATTACGTAATGCAAGTTATGTAATCAGATTACTTTTCCCAAGTAACTAGTACAGTAATGCATTACTTTAAATTTACAAGAAAAGAAAATAAGTAATGCCATTTACTTTGTTTTCCCGTTTATTCACTGACACCTCTCCTGTCCCCTTGTTGGGAGAAATTTTGTGTGAAGTGCAGAGGCAGAGGCACTTTCTTTAGCCTAATGCTTATTAATTTCACTTTTGGTGTGAAAGGGCCTTTACAGTTGCCAAAATTAGATTATTAAATTATTAAAAATAAATAAACAAGCCCAGCTCAGGTGACAAAAGTAATGCAAAAGTAATGTAATGAATTACTTTCCATAAAAAGTGGAATTAGTTACTTTTTATGGAGTAACGCAATATTGTAATGCATTACTTTTAAAAGTAACTTTCCCCCACACTGCCTAGCTTCTGATAGACTGAAGCAAATAACTCTTAGGCATGCAGTAGGTATGGCAAGAGGACACAGCATCTTGTTACCTTCTCAGGGAATCGTTGTTACAGTCGTGAACTGAGACATTCCCTTTTGAGGGAACTCACACTGCATCCAAATGATTACAATATGGGGAACAAAATGCCTACTCCGGCATATACTGAGAAATGCCTGTCCTGGTGTGAAACTGTCTTGGCACGACTAAGGACGAAAGCACTCGACAGTCTGTTGTAGAAGGCAGGTCCAGACATTAAAATCTTTTCAAATATAAAAGGTTTTGAAGTTGCCATACTTCTGATGGAATGAGCCTTTACCACTAGAGTTGAAGGCATGTCCCGCACCTCATATGCATTACATATCGCTTCCACAATCCATCTGCTAATGGTCTATTTAGAGGCTGGGGACCCCTTCTTGGGGGTCCCGAAGCATACCAATAGCTGGTCAGTTTTTCATCAGTGAGATGTTCTTCTAACATAAGTGTCGAGGGCCCCAACAGGGCACAGTAAGTTAAGCTTCTCAAGATCCGCCGACACAAAGGGAGGGGGATGAAAATCCTGCAAAACCATGGACCGAATGGAGCAAATTTAAGGCAGGAAGGGGCAACTAACAGCGTCTAAAGGTCTGCTACTGTCTCTAGGGAAAGTGATAGCTAGCAAGAATGCAATCTTTGCCTTTTGGGGACACTTAATATCATTAATTTCATTCAGGAAGGAAGCTCATCTTTAATATACGAATTTGTCTCTGTGCTGAGATAGCTGGGTGTAGAAAGACACACAATCTACTCTGAGCTTTATGTGTTGGGTCAGCTGTGATCCTCTCTAATTTATTATTTATACTGACATACTAAAGCCTTAAATACTGATCTCTAGGCTGCTGTGGTGTATTTATATTTACTGTATTCAGTTTCGTACATGCAACTTACAGCACATTTGTGTATTAAAACAATGTACTTTGTTTACTTGTAGTTTTACCATCAACAACAGAGAGACGTTTTTCTCAAACTCAACTAGAAGCAGAATAGTACATCATGTACTACAGCGTACGAAGTACGAGGACGGGAAGTCTAAGATGGGTAAGACGACAACTAAAACACCTGAAACATCTTCATCAAACATGTCTCACACACTCATTTCTCCATCCACAGACACTACGATCTGTCTGTAGCATATACACAATGATATGCCATTTCTCTCACTCATTATTGATATACCTTTGCTCATACCATTCCATCATATTATCTTTTGTTTTCTTCTTGAGTAATAGTAAATAAAATAGGTTGAATTTAAAAATAAATAAATAAATATCCAGGTCACACATCACCCCCAAATCAAATAATAAGTATAAGAATAATATAGAAAAAAAGAAAGAAGTCCTTATTTTTAACTAAAATTCTAACTATTTAAAAAAAAGCTGGATAAAATATACATATTAGATGAAAAAAACTTAAACTTAAAAAATTGTAAATGTTGCCTTGGCAACTAAATGAAATAAATAAGATGAAGCACAAAAATTACAGAAAATAAAAAAGAAGTGAAAATATAATTACAGTTATATAGAAATGTTCAAAAAATGATAAAATATGACAAAAGCCCATAACAAAAAAAATAAAACAAACTAAAATAAAAAAAAAAAACTGAAAAAAAGTTAAAGCTTTAATATATCTTTTATATAAAGAATATTTTCATGAAATTCACCCACTGTCAATACATATGTAAATATTTGAAGAGATGTGATGAGATGTGTGTGAGTTTTATCTGCAATGACCTACAATCCCTCTGACATTTTTAATGGAATGCCTCCCTTTTCGCTAATCTCCCTTATTTTAATGTCACACTTGTGCCCTTCTTATTTGGCTTTCTTGTCTGCCTGCTCTTGTGGTTTTCCACTGATTAAAGCTGGTCTTGCAATTGGGATTTTCGTGTTAATAAATGAATACCAATGATTGCCCACCCACTCAGACCAGACCAGATCAGATTGGGAGAAGAACTCTAAATCCCCCACAAATCCCAGCGCTCAATCATGCCACTGCAGCTCAGCTCAATGTCCTACAAGTGAACTCAAAACATCTGCAGCAAATGAGACGTAGTTTGCAAAATCTGACTTTTAAACTGAGAGTTTTAATAGAATGAAGTAAGGCAATAGCCAACCAGCTCTTTGGTTATGGTCAATAATACATCTTTGGTAGTCGACGTGAGGCTCTCGGGCCTTGTTTGGTTCTTTAAAGGAATGTTCTGTGTTCAATAGTAGCTAAGTGCTATTGACAGCATTTGTGGTATAATGTCACAGAAAAGAACTTCCACCTGTCCCTCAGTGTGTTTTTAAGTAAAACTCGCAATGGGAATAACCTTTTTCTCTGTAAATTCCAACTCAGGCTCATTGGAAATATGTGACTTTGCCTCTACGTGACTCCACATGAACCTGAAATATGTTGCTTTATAATACATTTTGCTGCACTTTTCAGGTGACGCGTCCACAAGAAGCACTATAAGCCATATATTTTTTTCTCCATTGCAGATGCAGGTTTACTAAACAACCCAGTTTCATGAAAATAAACAAACAAATAATTTACTAAAAAATGCTTGCAAACTGATATTGTGTCACTTGTAGCTTTAGCATATACCACAGCAAGTTTTAAAGTGAAATGTCTAGTGACTGGCACTACAGGCGTTTTCAGTTTTCTTCAAAACAGTTAAACCTGACTGTGGCAAAAAAATTAATTAATTTATTTATTTATGTTGGTTGTTGTATGTATCAAAAAGCAGTTTGTAAATTAAATGTCATCCAAAAAGTTAAGAGCGGGTTATGTGATGCAAAATGCTTAAAATGTATTCATTATGTATTCATTATTTCAAATCATGCACTGTGGTAAAAGTATTTTAAGGTCATAAGACAGTATTGTGCCAGGAACACTCCAAAAACAAGTGTTTATTAATCAATAATCTGTCCCATAATTATAATTTGTTTGAAAAGGGACTTTGTTGTTGGCGGTTTACTGCCACTAGTGTTTTCGTTTCAACTAGAAACTTCAGTGAAATGTATGCATATGTGTGTTCGCATTTTTACAGAAATGTAGGCAGAGTCATGTATTTCCAATTTCTAAATTGATCTGTGTGATGCCTGAAAATCTGCTTCAGGTGTCACACAATATGTTCAAGGAAATATCTTTAAGACACTGTTCCCCTTCGAGGGAACTCGAGCTGCATTATATGATGACACTTTGGAGAACACCTTCACTATGCAAGCGTCTGAAGCATTTGTGAAATTAATCCAATCCTGATTGGTGTTGCTTCATGATGTAGCAAGTGATGTGGCATGTGACGACAGACACGGAAACTACAAAAGGATGCCAGTACACAATAGAGATAGATTTTTGCCCTTCAGCAAGCCCTAATTGTGAACTGTCTGTCCTTGGTGTTGTTTGTCAAAGTCAGGAGTGACTCTGTTAGTTAGAAACAACAAATAAAAAAAAATAAAAAACAGAATGTTGAATAGACAGCATTTTAAGTGTGTACCTCCCTGCCCTAGATACACCACGGGAGGGACACAAACAGTCTTTGTGTTTACTGCTTCAATTAATCTGGCCAGGCTCATGCTCCCCGTGGCTTGGGTCCCGAGGCTGGCCTCGAGAGGCTAATTCCCCTAGTAGATCACTTAGAAGTATGAAAAGAGTTTCTGAAAATGTCTCAGTTTGTCCTGCGCACTGTAGAAAGAGGTTACAGACTTCAATTCGGGTCTCGCCCACCGAAGTTCAATGGGGTGATCTGGAGTACCATAGACCCAGAGCAGGATCGGGTGCTGGAACAGGAAGTGCACTCCCTCTTGGTGAAGGAGGCCATAGAACGCTTTCCTCCTCCCGAGTGGGAGTCCGGGCTCTACAGCCAGTACTTCATAGTTCCAAAGAAGGATTGGGGGTTGCGTCCCATCATAGATCTGCGGAATCTGAACCATTCTCTGAAGAGATTCAGGTTCAAGATGCAAACGATTCCTATTATCATGAGTCAAAACAAATCCAAGGACTGGTTTATCATGATGGACCTAAAAGATGTCAAGTCAAGTCAAGTCACCTTTATTTATAGAGCGCTTTTAACAATACAGATTGTGACAAAGCAACTGAACAGCATTAATTAGGAAAATAGTGTCAATAACGCAAAATGACAATAGTAAACACTCATTTTTCAGTTAAAGACAGTTCATCATTGAATTCAGTGATGTCAACATCCAGCTCAGTTCAGTTTAAATAATATCTTTGCAATCATGTCAACGATATCGCTGGAAATGAAGTGTCCCCAACTAAGCAAGCCAGAGGCGACAGCGGCAAGGAACCAAAACTCCATCGGTGACAGAATGGAGAAAAAACCTTGGGAGAAACCAGGCTCAGTCGGGGGGCCAGTTCTCCTCTGACCAGACGAACCAGCAGAACGGAAAAATCAATATAAGACGTAATAAAACAGACGATGAATAATATTAACAGCAATTATTATATGATGCAATCAAACTTGTAGCAAAATGTGGTAGTTCTGTATGTTGTTTCAGGGTTGGCATCATCTGAGGTCCTCTGAGGGGTTGCATCATCTCTTCTCAGGTGTTCTGGATCCAGACTGAAGCTTGTGTGAATCCTAGTTACCACGGGATGTTAATCCCGTGGCAAACGACAGAGAAACAAATACAAACATAATTAGCGTAGCTGCTGTTCCAACCAAGCAAAAATGATTTGTTTAACCCAAACTAATGAATAATAATGTGCATTTGATTAGATATAACTGCAGTAAAAGATTATGACTGTAGTAAAAGATTATGAGATGCATTATTTGAATGCTTGGCCAAAGAGATGTGTCTTTAATCTAGATTTAAGCAGAGAGAGTGTGTCTGAACCCCGAACGGTATCAGGAAGGCTATTCCAGAGTTTGGGAGCCAAATGCGAAAAAGCTCTACCTCCTTTAGTGGACTTTGATATCCTAGGTACTACCAAAAGTCCAGAATTTTGCGACCTTAGGGAGCGTGATGGATTGTAGCGTGGTAGAAGACTAGTTAGGTACGCAGGAGCTAACCTATTAAGGGCCTTATAGGCAAGTAATAATATTTTGTGTACTTATGTGTACTTATACATTTCCATCCTTCCTGTTCACAGGAAGTTCATGAGGTTCGCCTTTGGGGGCGAGGCTTTCCAACATTGGGTTACTCCATTTGGACTAGATCTCTCCCCTCGCACATTCACCAAATGCATGGATGCAGCTCTGGCTCCGCTGAGACTCCAGGGCATCCGTGTATTGATTTACATCGATGACTGGCTCATATTGGCCCAGTCTTATGATATGGCGGTTCGGCATCGAGATGTTGTCCTTTGCCATATAAAACATCTGGGGTTGAGACTCAACACAAAAAAGAGTGTGTTGACACCTTCCCAGAGTACTACGTTCCTGGGGGTGGTATGGGACTCAACTATGATGTGGGCATGGTTGTCTCCTGCATGTATCGAGACCATCTAGGATAAAGCTAGGCCAGGTGAAGCATTTTCAGAGGGTGCTGGGCCTCATGGCAGGTGCATCCAACGTGATACCTTTTGGCCTTCTACACATGAGACCCCTGCGGTGGTGGTTGAAAACCAAGGGGTTTACCCCGAGGGGAAATCCATTCCGTATGATCAAAGTCACACGCAGATGGCTTCATGCTCTAGTCATATGGAAGAAGCCTTGGTTTCTGTCCAGGACCAAGTGTTGGGGGCATCTTGTTGACGCTTGTCGAAATTAATTTTGACAGGGCACAGTCATGGAAGGCCGCTTCATGAGAGGTCATTGGGGGGCCATCATCTTTAGTGGCACATAAATTGCCTGGAGATGTTGCCAGTATACAAAGCTCTGAGCTTTGGGGAAGCTGTTGTTTCTGAGAGTAATGTATGTCCAAGGGGAGCAAAACTCAGGAGCGGACATCCTGTTGAGGCAGGTGCTGAGGCCCGGGGAATGGAGACACATTTTCTCTCACACATCCAGCTCCACTGGGGATGCCATGGTACAGACGTGGCCAAGGCTATGTCTGTACGCATTTCCCCCAATCGCTCTGCGTTTCCTCTATCTCTGGGTCTCAAGAGGGCACAGAGAGTTGTGGACGGGCCAGGTCTGTATCTCACTCATTCTCCTCTGTTGCCAGCGGGCAGCAATGGGCGGTTCGAGAGCGCTATCAAAGGCCCTACTAATGCACCCTCTGCCCAACCATGGAACCATGGAGTTGCAGAGGGAGCTCTTGTTCTCCTGAGAGAGTGGGGTATTCGCATCCTCAACTACCTCGATGACTGGCTCCTACTAGCACAGTCTCGGGGTCAGTTGTGCGAGCACAGGGACCTGGTGCTCAGGCACCTCAGCCTGTTGGGTCTTAGGCTACTGGGGCTACTTCATATGAGACCCCTTCAGCACTGGCTCCGAGTCCCAAGTGGGACGTGGCAGCGTGGCACTCACCGGGTCCAAGCAGTCTCTGCAGTGGCAAATCAATTGCCTAGAGTTGTTAGCAGTGTGTCTTGCCTTTAATCGTCTCAAAGGGAGCTTACAAGGCAAGCACGTACTGGTTCGGATGGACAACACTGCGACTGTTGTGTACATCAACTGCCAAGGTTGTCTGCACTCCCGTCGTATGTCCCAACTCACCGACCACCTCCTCCTTTGGAGTCAGAAGCATCTGAGGTCGCTTCGTGCCATTCATATTCTGGGTCTGCTCAACCATGCGGCCGACGAGCTGTCATGAGCGGCGCTTCCGGGAGAATGGAAACTCCATCCCCAGATGGTCCAGCTGATTTGGAGATGTTTCGGAGCCGCTCAGGTAGAACTGTTTGCCTCTCCAGAAACCTCTCATTGCCAGCTGTTCTACTCCCTGACCGAGGGAACACTTGGCACGGACACACTGGCACACAGCTGGCCGCGGGGACTGCGCAGATATGAGTTTCCCCCAGTGAGCCTTCTCGCACAGATGCTGTGTAAAGTCAGTGTAAATTCCACGGTATAGCTCAGAGCCCGTGTTTCGCTGGCAGACTTTTGCCATTTCCCAAGAGGGTTGCAATCACCTCTAAATCTTCCATAGGCACCTAAACGGGTTTCCATATGTGTAAGTGCTTCCGAAACCTCCTTCGGGAAGGATGGGGCTTCCGCAACGTTCCTTTTCCAAGTGGAACGGGTACGTTTTCCCAGTGCTAATACAAACAGTGACTGGCCTTCCTGCTACGAGCCCTGGCCTATACTCAAAGGGGCACAGGAGGCTCGCACAGGACACTGGATGGGGCAGCATTCGTGGCGCTTTGATAGGGATTCCCAATTCGTCGGTCACCGACGTGACGTCGAAAGTGACCGACTGAAAGGGAACGTCTCGGTTACGTATTGTTACCCTCATTTCCTGAAGGAGGAAACGAAGACGTCACGTCGCGTCGCCACAGCTGCTGTACCACCGCTGCTGTACCACCGCTGAGTGGCCTGGTCACCTCAGCGAAAACCTGAGTGTGCGTTGCACCTGCTGCCTATTTATACTCACGCTGCGATCAGCGTCAGCTGGATGCAATCATCACATGCTAATGTGCATTGGCTCGTTTAGTTTACACTCAAAGTAGATTGGTCTCTCTTGCGAGATTCCCAATTCATTGATCACCGACATGACGTCTTCGTTCCCTCCTTCAGGGAACGAGGGTTACAATACGTAACCAAAATGTTCCCCGAGAAGGGAACGAGATGCTGCGTCTCTTTGCCACACCTCGGTATGACTGAAAGCGACTTGCTTCGACCTATCAAAAGCTATCTCTATTGTGTACCAGCGTCCCTTTGTAGTTTTCGTGTCTGTCGTCACGTGCCAGGTCACTCGCTACGCTCACTAGTTTATTAAGGCAAAAGTCATAGTTAATAGATAGTTATTAGTGAGAATTAGTGAGACCTTAAAATAAAGTGTGGTCGAATTTTCATTTTTGGTGAACAATCCCTTTAAACCAAACGACACTGTTAATTTCAAAAGCTTATCAATATTTCAACCAAAGATGAAAAGTCTGTCAACATTTTCTCACTCACGTCTTTTGAAATGAGGTTGTTCTTTTCCAGCACATACAAAGAACAAAACCTTAAAAAAGCTAAAAAAAAGAAAAGAAAAAAGGCACAACCCCCCATGAAAGTATCAAAAACCTGGTTCATTTGCCTCATTTAGGCCCTATGCTATTTTTCAAATTTCAAAATGGTTAAATCCAGAACAATTCTTCTCTGCACAAATCCACACCAAAGAGACAAAGACACATTTTCACACAGTTGGCATGAATATGACTGCCAACATCACTGCCTGTCTCCATTAGATACGTGAAATAATACCGATTTGGAACAACATGGGTGATTAAATGATAGAATAGAATTTTCATTTTTGGGAGAAATATTACTATTTATTCCTAGTCAGAAAAAAACAAACAAAAAAAAACTAACTACCTACTTCTACATCAAAACATGTGAGATGACAACTGAAGCGTCAGAGAGGGAGTTTGTCAGCTTGTCTCCTGAGCCGGCTCAGGTTCAGTAGCATTTTGTCATTTGCAAATAGACATTTGTTCATCCATTTATTTGTAGAAATTGTCTTTTCTTTTTAGTCTTCCAGTCCTTCACCACATACTCATTAAGCCTAGAAACTCCATCATTAGGACCAGCACCAATCGCATTATAGACATCACAGGGCCCCAGACATCACAGAAACGTGCCCCGTCCATCAGTGTCCCTCATGTGTGAGCGTGTATGTGCATGTCTCTGCTGGTCACACAGTCTCCGTCTCTCTGCAGCTCCTCCGTTGTGTTGTCTGTATCTGCTTAATTATTATGGGCATCACGATCGGCTCCTCATGGGCCAGTCAGGGAGTTCGTGGGAAGGTGCGTACAGTGCTGTACAGTCTCTGTTGTGCGGGCACACAGGGGCGCCCAAATATCATCACACCTCTAAAAGTGTGATGATAAACGGCCATTTGGGTTGAAACTCACAAATTTGAAATGTCCAGGTCAGATTTCCTTTGCACCACTATGCAAAAGAAGTTGACCAAGGCTGCTTTTATTTGATAAAAAAATACAGTTACAACAATAATATTGTGAAATATTATAACTGTTTTCTATCTGATAATTCAATATAATTTAAAATGTAATTGATGTAATGGCAAACTTAATTTTCAGTAGTGCTGCTTAATACTTTTTTTCATGATTCTTGGTTAATTTATTTATTACCATTTTTTTTAAAATAGAAAGTCAGATCAATTTGATGCATCATCCTTTCTGAATAAACGTAATTAATAAAAAATAATAAGATATATATTATTTTTTGGACCATCAAGATTTAACCACATTCCCCCCAAATTCTTTATACCACAATACATCTGGATGTTTATTTGTTTGTTTGTTTGTTTAAAACATTGTACATTACGGCTTATTACACACACACACAAAGTGTAAGAAAGTTTTTTGATGCAATTTTATGCAGTTTAGAGAACTTTATACACTAAAAAATATGATAAACAAAAATAAAAAGAATGCTGCAATTGATTTTTTTTTTCTTTTCTTCTTTTTTTTTGTTCATTGTAAATATCTGAATATTACCAAGAAATGCTGTGGACTGTTTTGTGAGATTCAATCATTTAGTGTGTTTTGTGTTTTAGAATGGCATACAGTATAAAACAGAAATAGGCAGTATAATAATTAGACAAATGCTCAATATTACATTGATATTACAGCAAGATTTCCTTTTCTTCTGTTTTCATATGTGTGTGTGTGTGTGTGTGTGTGTGTGTGTGTTTATTTATTTATTTGTTTATTTTTGCACTTTAACCAAGGTGGGAAATTAATACCTGCAACCTGCCAAAGAGGTTATTTTTCCGTATATGCAAGCCACTGTAATGCCTATGACTGGCCTTTGACCAGAATTGCTTAGTACCTTAGCACCTACTTGCAATAAAATATTTGATTATATTTTGAAGAGAAGAAGATATTTTGAAGAAGAGACATTTCTGATTGGCTGTTCGTTTAAATTTTCAGTGGTGCTTGATTTTTGCTTAGTACTTGTCCTTATAAAAATGTAGCATTGCATCAGTGTCTCACCAATGGATCCTCTGCAGTGAATGGGTGCCGTCAGAATGAGAGTCCAAACAGTATAATCCACACCACTCCAGTCCATAATTAACATCTTGTGAAGCCAAAAGCTGCGTGTTTTCTGGTTGGTGGGCAAAACAGTTAATTTCCCAACCTCACCCTTACTAACCCATCTGTTTTTGAATCAAAATGTGTGTTGTGTACAATTTTAAAAGATGAAACATCTCCATCTTTATGGATTTTGTTGTGTATTTACATTGCTTTTGTTTTGTTTGTTTGATTGTTTGTTTGTTTTTTCTTGCTATTGTCTGTTATTTCCTCCCCTTTGTAGTGACTGTGGTGTTGGTCAAAGTTTTATGTGAAATTATATGTTGCGGTTATGAAGGTTTCTAGATTGTGTGTGTGTTTGTGTGTGTTTCTAGATTAATCATCAAATCGTTAATTTTTTTCTGGGAATGTAGAGTCATCAGACAGTCAGACAATAGAACTGTCATTGCCATTCTGGGCACTGAGATGCCAAAGAGATGCCAAGATTGAAAAAAAATAATAAATATAATAATAATAATAATAATAATAATAATAACAATAATAATAAAAAGATTACAAAAAAAGACTAAATTCATGCATGTTTTTTTTTCTGTTTCCATCTATTTTGTAGGTATTAATCGGTTACTTGGCAACAGCACATATGAGGCAGCATTTCCTCCACATGAGGTAAAATAAGTGAAATTTATTGCCAGTCACAATTCAGTTTTATTTTTTTAACCTCTATTTGGTTACTGTTGAAGTGTTCGTAGATATATGGAAAACGTTGTTATTGTATTTCTAGGGAAGTTATAAAAGCAGACATCCAATTAAAACCCATGGAGCTCAAAACCACAGACACCTTCTGTACGAAAGATGGGCGCGCTGGGGGATCTGGTACAAATACCAGCCTCTAGACCTCATAAGGTAAGAAACACACATACACACACAGAAGAATCTGGACACATCTATTTATATATCTTTGCATATATTTATATACAATATATACCAATATTTGAATATTTACTATGCTGTCTAATACATACTGTACATTTGTGTGTGATAGTATATATATATATATATATATATATGTGTGTGTGTGTGTGTGTGTGTGTGTGTGTGTGTGTGTGTGTCTTTTATCTAATT